TCTTTTACTCATTATAAACTCTATAAGACATAAAATTAAATGAGGTTAATGGTCTTTTTATTGTAAATTTGGTTTGAAGATGTTTTATTGAGAATTTTTACACCCATGCTCACTATAGAGATTTGGTTATAATTTTCTTATTTGAACACCTCAACAACAGTATAGATCAAACAGAAGGAAAATATCAGAATGTGCATTTAGGTCTTTTGAAATTTCATATTCAGACAAAAATATATTTTTGCACTGATGAATGAAGGAGCTCATTCATTCATTGAAATGACAGCGGCTGGTCCTTAACTAGAAACCAAGTAAAACTACACTTAGAAAACTCCATGTAATCTCTGAAATACTGTGGGAAGTGTGCATGTATATACATCTGTGTAATTTTCTGGGGGAAATAGCTCATAACTTTTATTAAAGTTTCAGAAAAAGTCCATCAATCTCTCTCTTTCTCTCTCTCTCTCTCTCTCTCTCTCTCTCTCTCTCTCTCTGCACACATACACACACACACACACACACACACACACACACATATACACACACAATCCGTCAGAGCATAACACTGTGGAACAGTAAGGACTTTCTAGCTTCCTCTGGTTGGAATAAACCACTAACACAAATACATTTTTAATATTTTATTTCTTATTTTCATTTTATGTGTATGAGTGTATTGCCTACATCTATGTGAGTGTCATGCTATGCCTTCAGAGATCAGAAGAGGATATTGGATAGTTGTTAGCTGCTATGTGGGTGCTAGGACTCAAACCCAGGTCCTCTACAAGAGCAGTCAGTGATCCGCCCTACAAATACGTTTTTAGAAACACCAGTAAGTTAAAATTTAAATGTAACTAAACAAGTTTAATGACTTCATTTAACATGATTATTTATAAAAAACAAAAATAAAAAGTGTAAGAGTTTATGAAACCATGTTTATTTCTTTTTTGGTACAACCAGAGAGGTTACCTCAAACCTTTAAAATAAATAATCTCAGCAATAAAACTTATGCATGCCAGGGTATTATAGTTGCTTCTTTTCTTTCACATAGAAGAACTCAAAGTATTGATGGATTTGGAGTACAGTACATAGAAGTTCACAAATTCAGACTGAAGAAGAAAACCAACATAGTTATAAGGAAATCATATCCTGTGCACAGCCCTTTTTGCCACTCTCGATGGAGCACATTGATGGGAATTTTAAGCACCAATTCTATTAAATGTAGTGGGGTTTCTTCATTACTAATCTAGTAATACTTTATATAGGAACTGAATTAAAAATCTGAGAACAGCATCTAAATTAAAAATGAAAATAAAAAACTGAGAAACCAAACAGTTGGTTTTTTTGTTGTTTTGTTTTTTGGGGTTTTTTTTCCCATTGGCACAGTGACCTGTGATATATCACATAGCACACTAATTTTCAAGATCCCGGGAAGAGGATTGTGAATTTATCTAAAGAAAATTTAAATTTGATTTTAATCTGATGACTCTCCTGTCTTCCCTCTGAGGAAAGGAAAAGGACGTATTGAGTAGCACCATAGTTTTAAACCTGATCGTCAAGTAGGACTAGTGTAACCATGTTTATGGTTAAACACTGTCACCCTCACCCCAGTTTTAGTTGGTCTTTTTTCCTCCAGGCTTCATCACTCCAGGTGTGATTTGTGCAGGTTGCCTGCACCACTAAGCCTTTCACTGGTCAGGCCCTTTGCTAAAGGCTCGCAGACCAGCTTGTAGGGTGCAGGAGGCTGGCTCACAGAAACCAGGAGGGCCAGGAGGGCCCGGGGGTCCAGGCACACCAGGAATTCCTGCCGTTCCTGGGGGACCTTGCTCACCATCCCGGCCATTTCTCCCAAAGCTGGCAGGGCCTGGGTCTCCTGAAACAGACAAAAGATCATATATGTGAGCAGGAGACTCCAAAATAGCTGTAAATCAGCAAAAAGCATTAGACATTCACACCCTAGCCGTGTGCAAGAGAGATGCTTAACAAATGCTTTCAAAAACGATGAACAAGGAAGGTAGAGAGATTTCTTTACTGGATTTGGGTTTCATAGAAATGAAAAATTGAAACACACTTCAGTGTATGTCACCACATTTCCATCACGGTAGCCTCTAGCCATGAGTCTACCATGTGGGTCTACTGAGTACTGGCGTGGCTGGTCCAAAGTAAGAACTATAAGTATATAATAAGCTGGATTTTGAAAGTTTCATATGGAAAAAAAAACTACAAAGTATTTTATCTGAAATTTTTATATTTGTTACTAATATAATAATACTCTGTATCTAGTGAGTTAAATAAATAAAGGCTACTGTATAGGTATCCTTCAACTTATAATGGGGCTGTTTGAAAACATAGTTAGGTCAAAAAATGTGCCAAACTTACCAAACATCATAGCTTACCAACCCAATACACCACACCACAGGGTACCAGGTCTTTCCATTTGTGATTGCGTAGCTGACTCAGAACTGCCCAGCATCAGAAGAAAAGTATCATACTACATATCACTAATCTCATGAAAAGATCAATATGCAAAACCAAGTAAGATTTCTACTGAATTTGAATCACTTCCGGGCCATCACAAATCAAAAAAAATTCCAAATACAACCATCTAAAGTCAGTGACTAGCTGTATTATTTTTATTCATTTTGTCTGACTCTTTACACCCTTTCCATGTGGCTACAGGAAGATTTAAACTCACATGTGCCATGCTGATGCATGGCTCACATTCTCATTCTTATGAACAATGCAGCAGTATTTAATTTAATTTAATTGCTAATAGTGATCCATATCTGGGCCTGGATAGCTAATCTAGTCTAGCTAAGAAGTTACAAACACAAGTTTTTGAGACGAATGGTGTTAAGTTCTAACTTTGACATTTAGGAACAGTATGAATTAGAAAATCACTAACCTCTGACTTTCAGCACCTGTGAGATAGAATGATGCCTTTCTTATAATTAAATTCTGTGACTGACAGCATCTGTTTTGGGGGACTGCTGCAACTATTAAGATATTATTGATTCATGTCTTTTAGAAGACTAAGCCATGCTCCCTACAATAGTCCATCACATTCTAATTGGATTACCCCAACATAAACTTCACCACAGTGAGTTCCTCAAAGAAATGTCTGTTTTGTCATGTTTGTCCAATGGGACACATTCTCTGAGTCATGGAGCCCCATAACTAAGAGGAATTTCTGCTGACTCTGTTCCCCTCTGCACCAGTAGTGCTTTTACTTTCATCCTATTACTGCAAACGTAGTACTAAGAAACCACTATCAAAGCAACTGCATATGCTATGACAATACTGAATTGTGGGGACCCTCAGTCCATCTCAGCTGTCCCAGTTTAGTCACTCTGCCACAAAGCCAGAAGCTAGATCTTCATATTCAATTACATGTTTGCTTAGGTGAAGTTATCAGCCTTCTTTCTCAGAAGTTTCCAGCTCTCTTTCTAATTTACTAATTTATTACATATTTGTTTTTATAATGACCTGGTCTTATTAAGTGGTATTATTTTTACATACTCACGTGCTTTGGGGAAAAGTAATTAGAGGCCCTATTTTACATATATCCCATTCTTCTTTATGTGTTTACATTGAGACCTATACAAAGCAATGCCTTAGGGCAAAACATTAGCAAGTTTTAAGGAAGAATAATTATCTTTGAGTGTATGCATCTCAAGGCTGTAGTTAAGCAGAAATATGTTATTTCTAATAATTTATCCCGTAGGATTTTATCCAACTACACTAAGTTGTGATGAGGTGGGAAATTATGCATTTTCCCCTAATGGGAGAAAGGCTTTTCATAATCCACAGCATCTATAGATAAGGCTATCACATCAGCTCAGGTAGCAGAGCCTATTCTACCCCCTGACATCAGAGGCAGTTAAAGGTTAATTTGGTTATTTTTTTTTTTAGCTTTAAAATATAAGCCCATCTAACTCCATAATAAAGGTAATTTTCATGAACTTTATTGGGAGGAATGTCCCCACTGAGATACAGCAGACCTCTCTTAAGCAAATCAAATCCAGACTAGCAGGAGAAAATGGCCATGCCCATAAGAGGAGTTAAATCCAAAAGAACACAAGTAGGTAGGCAGGTAAGGCCCAGGAGGGTAGACCAACCTCACCTGCAGGCCAAGCCTTATTTTTAAAAAGAGATTTATTAGAGCTCAGTCACAGTCATTTTTTAACATACTGTCTGTGGTTATTCTTTCAATGCAAAACAGAGCTGAACGGCTGCCACAGAGACCCCCCACGCTCAAAGCTAAAGCTATGATCCTATACAGAGGTTTGTTGGTCCCCGATGCCATAAAGCAATAGGCCCTGCTTAGGAAATGCCCTGCCAACTTTACTAGAAGAAAATTTAGAACACAAAAGTAATGAAAATGGCCACTGAGTTTCCATGCCAGTGTTGAGGAGACAAGAGGGAGTGATGGAGTGGAGGCAGGGAGGTGGAAGCCCCAAACTGTTCCTGCTAGCAGCTCCCTGGGGGATGTGGGCCAGTGCTTTAAATAAAACCTTTCTTTTCTTAAACATTATTAACTGTTTCAAACTTCTATTTTACATTAGTAAAATAATCCCCTCCCTCAACCTTAAATTGAAAGGAATTTATTCTTTCAAACACGGACATTAAAAAGTAGAAGCAAAGCTTTCAATTTTTCACATTTAGTTCCCCAATTCAGCACCCTGAGGGTGGTGGGGTTGATGATCTTACTCTGTAAGCTAGGCTGGCCTCAAACTCAGTATGTATCCCAGGATAGCCTCAAAATGCTAGGATTACAGGCTGGATCTATCATGCCCGGTTCTAATTCAACACACTTTAAGAGAAATAGGCATTTTGTTTTGTTTTTAATTTGCTAACTTTATTTCAAATTCTTACTTGTCCTTTGAGGAAAGAGTTGATGAAGTTGTCCTATCCACATATTCACATTATAAAAAGCACACTAAGCCCCAGTCTGCCTTCAGCAAGTACACCAGCAATTTATTCTTTGGGGCTATGGATGAGATCCATCTCATTCACACTTTATAAAGTACCCCTTTTCTCGTGTGCTATACATTGTGCTCATTACTGATTCCATTTTTTATACATTTTGAAATTATTTATTTATTCTATGTGTATGAGTGTTTTGCCTGCATGTATATAAATGCACCATATTGTACAATGTCAATGGAGGCCAGAAAGTGGCACTGGATCCCCTTGAACTGGTGTCTTGGTGGCTCTTAGCTGCCATGTGGGTGCTGGGAACCAAACCTGAGTCCACTACAGGAACACTCAGTGCTTAACCACTGAACCATCTCTCCAGTCCATGATTCTGTTTTCTTTATGTGGAAACTGAGTTGAGAAGGCTAATTACCCAGTAATAACGTAGAAAACATTGCAGTTAGCAACATAGGCTTTGACGATTTACTCTAATTGAACTAACCTTCCACACATACTGATTTGATAACTCTCCTGAGGGTGTGTATGTGTGTGCGTGTGTGTGTGTGTGCATGTGGTAGTGGTGGTGATGGTAGTGTTGGTGGTGGTGATAGTAGTGGTGGTGGTGACACTGTTGTTCAATTCATTGTGTCTAAGTTGACTAGGAAGCAAAAGAGATACAATAATTCAAAGCTAGGCTTGATTCCTCCATATTTCTATTATGAGTCTTCCAGAATTCAATTATGAGAAACTAAGATATTTTATGGGGTTTTGCCTTGTACCCATGCCTGGGAGAAGGGAATAGCCTTCACATAACAGCTTATCAGTTTCTTATGAGCCCTGTCCATACAATATTGTACTCCAAACTTGCTGAGAAGGAGCCCCATTTGGGGTGACATCATATTATTGTCCAGGCTATTCAAGAAGCTAAGCTGATTCACTTTAACATCACAAAATGGGCTTGAATGTTCAGTCAGCACTGAGTTAAGGAAAGTCCAACTGCTTCTCCGTGTCTCTTAAAATAAACCTTGGGTCTGAAGTGCTTTGCCTACCCCATGGGTGTGTTGTCTTCACTAACTGAAATTCAATTCTACACTTATGAAATTTCAAGAATCACTATGCCAGACATTTCATGATTAGAAAAGAAAGGAAAGGAAAAATATCCATGAAATTCTCTATGTAAACACTAGAGGGCAGAAATGTTACGCTTAATGTTACATTAAGTAGGCTATCTGGTCATAAATTGACTGGTTATTTAAACTTTTGATGTGTACCCCAAAGTTACATGTTTTTAATACTGAGCTAGTATTTGACAAGGTTTTTCATCTCACTTATTCCTGTCTCTAGTGAGTTTGTAAGAGAAATCAGGATCTATTGTTAAATAGTTTTCCTTAAAACACTCAGAGTGCTAAGGAATTGGTCATGCATGGGGAATTCAGTGGCAGCAGGCACGCAGAATGCCCTTTAGTGAGATGACATAACCAAGTCACAGTGCTGGCTGGCTCTGGTGTTCAAAGAAGAGGACTAATGACCCAGGGGTCCCTTATAAATTCTACGCTGTTCTGGGAGTGGGGACAGAAAATGGGATTATGGATATGCCCACATGATGTGGCTGGGATCACAAAGACAAATGAATCCCATTAGATGGTGTGTTGTTTTGTCTATTATATGAAGCTGAACTCGGGAAGCGTGAATATTTCCCTCTGCCATTTGCAACCTGGGAGACCTTTGTCAGAGTGTGTGACCTGGGTCAGTCTGCAGTCTCAAAATAAACAGATTAACTACAACAGAATCAGCTGAATGAGCAGCCTTTGGCTTAGCCAGGCCCTGCTTTGTGCATTTCACATGTGTTATCATGTGCATACATCCTCCTACATGACCCTAGGAGGATGTGTGGTTCTCATTCCTGTTAGGCAGGAATGAAACTGGAGAGGTAGTCATTGGCAAGAACGGGAAGGGGAGTGCACAAATCCTCACAGCCTGGCCCCGGGGCCACTTCCCTTGAGTATTTTCCATGCCTAGTCTGGCTCTAACAAACTAGACAGCACATATGTGCTTTAAAACAACAATGTGTGGCAGATAAAATGAGAGTCAAACTATAATAACATATGGTCTATAATAGGAAGTGTCACACTACAACCCAGAGTTTTTAATGCTTAACACACAACAGAGATATGCTGCTATAAAGGGAAACAAAACAAAAACTACACAGAAAGAACAAAGGACTCCTAATAACTGATAGATAAAGAAGGTGGTGGCTCCATTTTCTTTTAATATTAGGTACGTTAAAACAAAGAATGATGAAATAATATTTTTCCATTCCATAGGATTTGAACCCAAAATCAACAACAGTGATTTTTCATTAGTTCTCACAATTACACTATCAAAATGATGTCACTCTTATTTTGCATATGAGTTAACTAAGGCACAGAGAGAAACTAATTTGTATAGTGTCATAAGGTCAGTGAGTGACAGTGGCCTGATCTGAACCCACAGTTTCTGAATTGGGGAACCCACGCTTTAAGGGAAGAATGACTCAAAACCTTCTGTTAAGGATGTGTCTGATTGGAAAAGTTGTTAGCCAAATGTATTCACAGTGTAGAGAAGAGACCCAGCTGAACAACGAAGCTCCCAGCTGGCACCCCATGAGAGATAAATATGGCCCTATAGTCACACTAAAGTGCTTAGAGAACCTTTTAGCTGCAAAACCTGCCTCTCCAGTAACTGAGTTAGAAGGTTAGCTCATATTTTTGAAAAATTATCTGAAACTCAAAATTTACCAAATAATGTCAGATATCTTATCAACAACAATGCAACAAAAGCCCTCCTCCCCACCCCAAAGAAAGTTGAAGTGTAGGTAGAAGGAGACCAAGAAGAAGGACAATCAGTATAAGGAAGATAAAGAATGAGAAGGGGCCTGTGAAAGGAAGTGAAGAGTGGATAGAAAGCAAAGGTAGTGATGACCTTGGCTGTAGCTCCAGGAAGGGAGGGCAACAATTAAAGAAAGGAAAGAAAAGTGGGGCAGGTTTTAAGAGGCTTAGAAAAGTGAGTGCATAATGGTTTCTGTTTTAAATCAGAGTTACCTTTTGTCACGGCTGGCTTTGGTTGTCAACTTGACACACCTGGGAATTGGGAACCTCAACTGAGGAATTTCCTCTATCAGATTAGCCCGTGGGCATATCTGTGAGGCATTTCCTTGATTGTTGAGTGATGTGGTAGACCTCAGCCCACTGTGGGTGGTGCCACACCTGGGCAGGTGGTCCTGGGGTGTATTAAGAAGCAGGCTGAGCATGAGCCAGACAGCAAGCCAATAAGCACTGTTCCTCTGTAGTCTGGGCTTCACTTCCTGTCTCCAGGTTCCTGCCTGAGTTCCTGCCCTGATGATGAGCTATGATGGGGATGTATAAACCAAATAAGCCCTTTCCTCCCCAAGTTAGTTTTGGTCAGAGGGTCTTATCACAGCAATAGAAAACTAACGAACACATATTAAGTCCAAGACAAGTGGCAACACATTTTAATGATTTGAGGTTTTGTTGTTGTTGTTGTTGTTGTTGTTGTTGTTGTTTTGGGGCTTTTTTTTTTTTTTCTTAAGAGGAAAAAGACAAGAGCTAGGGAAGGCAGCAAATGATGAATCTGTCCTGCCTCACTATCTTGCCTACACATGGCAGGTCTGATGTGCTAACAAACAAATCAGCAAAACCCTTCTGTGGCTGAGTGTTGGTTGAGTACCACTGACCATCCAGTGACGCTGAGCTCCTCCTGGGGTGACTCATTTATTGCAGGTGGGAAACAATATGCTCCCTTGTGGAAGTCTGGGGCACTGCAGTTGGTTTCCCAGCTCCCAGTTTTAAAATTAATGTCACTGAATTTTCAGTAATAAAAATGTGGTTCGAAAGGCAAGTCACAGGTTCAGAAACTGTTAGGGAATTTATCAGTAGTGGGAGAAGTTGTTAGGTGACCTCTTAACTACATGGGTAATTAAGTACACTGTGGTAATGAGTCACCAGTTTCAATCCCTACTATCACTGACACTGTCAATGAAGGATATGCTCTTACTAAGTACTATTTCCTTTTCCTTTCTTCTGAATATCCATCAACAAATTCAGATTTTATTGTATGCTAAAATCTTTTCTTGATCTTTTGGGGTTCAACCATATTTCTTTCAACTTTTTTCCAATCACGCACAAAAAATTAATTTGTGAAAATATCTTGGAGGCCCACGAGTCCCATTTTCGAAAGGCAGTATGTGAGCTGTCTCCAAACATATTCTCTCTCTTCTTTTTAATTTGTAATAAGAAAGAAATCCCCAGGAGCAATAAAATAGATAATTGGAAAGCAAAGATTTTTTTTTTCTGGCTACAATTATAGCCATGATTAAATATATAACCTCTGGCAGAATTACAAAATGGAAATTTATTTTCCTAAATTTCCCTAAACTAAGTTTTCTGAATTCATGATTGAAGTGAGTAACACTTCACATTTTTTCCCTTTCTACAACCCCTCCAGCCTTAATTTTCCCCACCTACAGACATCTTGGGCCCCATGGCCTTCCCCCAGCCATTGCCTTTAGCCACCATGTGAGAATTTTCTAGAAGCTTGCACATCACGCATGCTGCTGAGCTGAACTGGCTTTTGGCTCCACTGAGCTGCTTTTGTGTCTGGGTTTATAAGTCATTTCCCAGTGGACGAGTATGTTCCAGCCAGACTTTCCTGGTGACAGAGCAGTCAGTGTATAAAGAAAACACAAAATGCCCAGTGAGAAAAAAAATCAGGCTTCTCACAGAGGCCACTCTGTCACCTCAGCCACCCAGCTGTGACATGTGCCTGTGTGGAGCTCTCTGTGAGTGTGATAGAAATATTTGAGGTGTTTGTTTTAGGGGGAGTGGAATTTTGGAGGGTCTGAGTATTTGAAAAGGGAGCTTTTAAAATAAAATTTTAGTTATTCCCTGTACCATGTGAGTAGCTAAAAACTTGAATTCCTTTTCCAACTGCTCTGGCTTCATAGATGTGAAAAAATAAAGCTCAAGTATATCTCAGTAGCAAAGTACCTGCCTAGCATGTTCCAGGACCTGGGCTTGATCCTCAGCACCACAGAAAATAGTAATAATGAAATAACAACAAGACACTATTGCATGAGCTAGAAATGAATACCACTTCAGTCATTCCAGTTTTTATAACAACCAGATTATGGTTGGACCTTGACATTATTTTTCTTGAAGCATGTATTAGGAAATTAATATTTCAAGCCTTGACATCTGTCTTCCCATAAGGAAGGCAGACATGATTTACAGATCATTTAACTCTTCATTAAAGCCAGTCATGAAAAATCTATGCCAGCCATTAGACAATCACCTGATAAGCTCAAGGAATTGAATGTCACTTCTGAAACGTTCAGTTCAGACTGTACATTTGCTGCCATTTTCTCTCCAGCATCATCTCATGGTAAAACTCACTTACCTGGGAGACCTGTAGCTCCAGGCAAACCTTTGGGACCTCTTCCAGGAGGGCCACGTTCCCCTTTTTCTCCCAAGTCACCTGCATTTCAGAAAAGACATGTTACTTTTCTATACATTTGTAAATTTCTATATTTTAAACTTTAAGCAAAGCCCAAATTTAGAAACTAAAGTCATGAAGTTGCCACAAATTCGACTGCAGTAAACGTGTATCAAGCACAACGTTCATCATATAAACCGATCTAAGAAGAAAGATATCATATGGTCTATCCACAGACACTGAAAAGACATTTCAGAAAATGGAACAAGAATTCTTGGTAAAACACTGAATAAAATAATAATCAATGGGTACTTTGCTGAGTATGATAAAATACATCTATCTCAACTCAAAAGCACCATGTTCATCAGGAGACAAGAGCAGCAGCTCTGCCTCAGGCCACACAGAGACGAGGCTGCCTTGTCGCTACCACGTATCGTTTTGTTTAAGGAAGTAAAACCATTCTCCTTTCAGGTGATTTGAGCATTTATTTTAAACCTTGAAAATTTATTCAAAAACTACTGTAGTAGGATTGACAGTAAACAATAAATGAATTCAGTAATGTAGCATGACATAAAATTAATATATATAAATCAATAATTTTCATATATAAAAACAGCACCCACGGGTATAAGATATGGTAAAGAAGTACAATTTAGGGGGCTGGAGAGATGACTCAGTGGTTAAAAGCACTGACTGCTCTTGCAGAAGACTGGGACTCAGTTCCCAACACCCACAGGGCAGCTAACAACTGTCCGTAACTCCAGTTCCATGAGATCTGACACCTTCTTCTGGCCTTCACACTCACCAGGCACGCATGTGATGCACTTGCAAACGTACGCAAAACACTCATACATATAAAACAAAAACAAGTAAAAAAAAAATTAAAAAGAAGTATGGTTTGTAATAGTAATTAAAATGCTAAATAACTAGAAATGAGCTTAACTGGAAAAACGCAAGTACAATATGAAGAAAATTAAACCTTTCTAATAGATACAAGAAGACTTGAAAGGTCCTCAAGTGGAATGACATCTCAATAAAATGTCATTTCTCCCTAAGCTGAGTATTTATCAGCATTCCAAGTTTTTTAAACAAAAGAACCATATTGCAACCAAAAAGATGACTCTGAAGTTCATATAAAAAAAAATCATAAGCTGGAATAGCCACAACTACCCTTCTAGAAAAGTAGCACAAAGAAACTAATCCTACCAGATAGTTAACTGTTAGAGTTGTATAGTTGTTACTGTGAAGCAGAGATGCCCAAATACATGTGGGAATTTGCTTTATAACAAAGGTAGCATCTTTTTAAAAAAGATTTATTTTATTATTTGCTATTTATGTGTATGCTTGTATATGTGCATGTGTATGCAGGTGTCCATGGGGGCCAGAAGATGACATCAAATCACCTTGAGTTACAGGCAGTTGTGAGTGGCCTGATGTGGGTAATGTGGGTGTCAGAACTTGAACACTGGTTCTCTGTAAGAGCAGTGAACATTCTTAACCACTGAGCCATCTCTCCAGCACCAAAGGTGGCGTCTTAAAGTGGGAAACATTTAACAATACATCAAATGGTGCTGGAAAAAAGTGAATAACCAACTCAAAAAAAGTTACAGCTAAAACTTTATCTTTCACATCATTTTCTAGGATAAAAGCAGATCAAATATTTAACAACCAGAAAAAAAAGGGAGAATTATAACTTCAAGTTGACCTTTCTATTTGTGATTAAAATATGATGAATTTCTGCAATGAATACAAAACAAAGCAATGCAACAAAAGAAGAATAAACTGGGCTGGAGAGACAGCTCAGCAGTTAAGAGCACTTGCTTCTTGCAGAGGACCCTAGTTTGATCCTCAGCACCCACATCAGGTGGGTAACTGATGTTCCATGATCTGATGCCCTCTTCAGGCTTCCTTGGGCAATTGCACATACATGGTACATATACAGGTACATTTGCAAAAAAATTAATGAGCAAAATACATCATTTATCAGCCACAAAAACGGGAATCAAAACTGGCTCTTACATGGATGAGAGTGCTCCTGAATTTGCTTTCATAAAATAAAGGCAATTTCTTTAAAAAAAAAAAAAAAAGCAAAGATGCTATTTTAACCTAGAATATCAGCAAAAGTTCCAAAGTTATAGTAAACATTTTGAATAAGTCTACAGAAAAAATACAAAACTGCATATTGCTGAGGAAAGTGAAAATTGGTATGATCTCATTAGAGATTTGACAACAGTCACCAAATTGTAAATGGAAGTTGCATTTTGCCCAGAAATCCCACTTATAGAAATTTATTCCAGAACAGAAGTGGAGATAAATTTAGCAGTAGAAATAGAGTCTATGCTGATATTTTGTACCAAGATGAAATATGTACACTGTGTGCACTGCAGCCTTTCTGGAACAACAGAAGTCTGGAAGCTAATGGATCATTAAAGGTAAGTATTGAATTACTGCCACAGAATGGAATACTATACAACTACGGAAAAAACAGGCTTGTTGGAATGATCTCCAGGAAAGATTGTTAAATGAAAGAAACAAGGTCCAGATCGCTTATGAAAAGACAATACAATTCAATTTGTATAAGGAAGCAGGAAAATATATGTCTATATATTCTTATATGCCAGTGCTTGTAAGGATCTGCAAGAAACTAATAATAGTGGTCACATAATAGGAATGATAGGAAAACTAAGGATATGGGAAACCTTTGTGGAAAAATTCTTTACTAAATAACTATCATACACTTAAATTCTCTTGAGCAATGTGTATTTAATATTATCAAAAATAAATGTATTTTTAAAACTAAAATGTGTTGTCATGAGTGTCTCTCACTAATGACTTGGAATTTATTGGGAATACACTTTGAATTGCAACCAAATGTGCATAAAACATTTACAAGACAGTTGGTTAAGCATGAGGCCTCAGCAAACTTCAGAGCAACACTACATCAATTATCCACGCTCCTGCAGACCAAGTCCAGAAGCCTGCTCATTAGCAAAGGGCCTTAATAGTGCATTAACTGGTCCCTAACTGACCTCTACTGTCTTTTAGAAGGCATTATTCTTCTACCCCGTTTATGTAGTAATATATTATCATTCTGATACACTATTAAAATGCACAATACCAAACAAATTCTGTGTAGAATCAGATTTTTCAAATATCTATACCAGTCCAGCATTATTCAATATTCAGTCAAGTTTGTTATAATTTGACAGAGCCAGACATACAGAAAATAGAAACAAAACCTATTCAATCGTCAGCACATTAGTCAAATAGTCAAGAATTATTTATGAAGTCAAAGTTTAAATAGTCACATAATTTGATTTTTTGCTGAGAATTTCCATACATGAATCTCTTATGATGAACCAACTACATTCCCACAAGAATTTAAGTTATTATAAATATGTGTGAGGACCCAGAGCAGAGGTTGAGCTCATATTCATATAAACTGCTTTTTTTTCCATTACTTATCAGTATGGCCTTACTATAGTCAGAGCATATGAAAATGCTTAGTCACTTTTGTTAATAATCAAATTGTCAAGTCATGGTGATCCTGACTGGCAATAAAAGGAGACTCTACAGATGAGACACATTTTCTGAAGACATGAGATGAAGATTATAAATTAAAATGTAGCTTTCACATTGATAGTGAGAATCAAACTTATTTGGACATTCCAGCATGAAGCCACACCAAAGGGCTGCTTGCATGGCGCAGGCCTGCTGGCCAATGCTTCTGCCTTTTGGCTACTGATCATAGGAAACTAAACTTTAGAAGGATGTAAGGCAGAGCCTTGCATGGCGCAGGCCTGCTGGCCAATGCTTCTGCCTTTTGGCTACTGATCATAGGAAACTAAACTTTAGAAGGATGTAAGGCAGAGCCACTGAATTCACTACGCCACTCAACCACCAAACCCTAGGTATGTGGGGCTCTGTCAACTGAGCTCCTCCCCAGACACTCTGGCCATGTCTGTTTTTATGATGTAGAAAAATGGGTCCAGGAACTAAAGGTCTACCGTTGCAGCCTACTCAATCAAAAATACACACTTAAGAAGCCTTAGGTCAGGTATGAAGGGAAATACAATCAGAGTCAGAAAGCTAAAGAGTAAATGGTCTCATGGCTCCGTATTTGCTGTGTATTTCAAATTTATTATTAGCAACCTGTAACTGATGCTCTGTCTCCCTGTGAGCAGATTAACGCAGAAAAAGTGTTAGTCACAGTTATAACATATGCATATTTTCATACCTTCATTTCCATATTGCCACATCTGTTTGACTCATACTAAAACGTCTAAAAATATACAGCCTTCCTCAAAGGAACTTAAAATTAATCCAAACCATGAACATTTAAAAATAATATTTAGGCATGAAAGGCTAATAAAATACTCAGTAAAGTGAGCATAAGCCCACTTTGTTGCTCCCAAGTTCTGCTTGACCATGCACACAGGAGGCACATGCAGCATGCACTTTGGCACTACATGTGTGTAATATTACACATTACAGTGAAAAACAAAGGAAAATTACATGTGTGGACAGAGCTGTCTCTATAAGTTGAGGCAGACTGAGACAAATTCTTATTGTAAACATTCCACTGTTTTCGAGATTATTGTCAGAAGAACAAAGACCAACACTTAGCCTGAACTGTTAAAAGCATTAATAAAAATAAAAAAAATTAAAAAAAAAAAAGTAGCTTCTTATTTCTCTGGAAAATCCCCAACATGACTATATGGTAGAACAAGTCTCATATGCCTTTCACTGGGTAAAAGAGGGGAAAGGAAAGGGGAAAGGCCACACTGAATTGTATTCCTTCTCTAATGTCTGAAAATTTAAATCTCAACATGGTGGAATATGTTTTCTTGGGCAAAATTTGGGCTGCAAAACTTGTGGATAGCAGAAAACTATACATTTTCTATTAAAGATTCTTTCCTGTATGTGGCGGGACAGAAAAGATCAACTTCAGAAACTTAGAATTATGTATTTCCAAAGTGGGTACAGTTTTGATAGATAAAGAAAATCTGATTGCCCCACCCCACCTCCACCCCAGATAAGTAAAACGCAGTGAAAACACTGGCTGAAAGGAATTGAATAACAAAGTCGGGCAGGGGGAGAGAAAGGGGTGTATGGAATCAGTGACAGACTATACTGTGAAAAATGAAAAAGAAAAAAAATCGGGGGAAACTCTTGTGACCCAGCTGTGACTGACAAACGAACGGTGCGAGGGGCTTTTTCCAGATTCCAAATATAAAAATATCCTTTCAAATGAGGGTCTTCGGTAGAACCAAAGCGATTCATCATAACCACAGTTCCCTGTGCTGAAAGCCTCCCAGAAAACTTTGTTGAGTGTTAAAACCGTCTAGGGGATATTTTAAGCGCCAAATGCCCAAACCAATTAAATCAGAAATTCTGGAAATGGGGCCCAGAACTGCTTGGCTCACAAAGCTCCTAAATCGGCTCCTTGTGCAGTGAAGGTTGGAGGAGGTGGGTCCCCAGACTCTCCCCGGGTAGCTCCTAACAAGGGCAGTGTCGTTTCCTCAAGCAGAGTTTGGTTGCTAGCTCCAAGTTAAGCTCTGCACCAAATACCAATTTGCCAAAGTGAGCAAGGCTGTGATTTCTATAGACCATCTAGCGAAAATGAATGCCATGCCAGGTCGTTTAGCCACATAGTGATCTCCTGAGAGCTGTTTGAACCCCAGAGCTGGGTCCACCCTGAGCTTCTGGTTCTGCGTGTATGTACGGGATGGGGCAGAGAAATGAAGACTCTCGTGAGGTCTCTGGGTGGTGTTGGCGTGCAAGGCGCTTTTCACGTGCTGTTCTATGCACTCAGGAAAGGCTGCATGGATAGCCATGGGCCGAGGTGAGATAGATCCAACTAAGTCAACAGCCCACCCAAGGCAGCAGAGTTTCTTAGAAGTGGTCTGCAGAATGAACGGAACTACCCCAGAAGGCACTTAAGACACCAGGTCCTGAACTAGTGACTAAAAATTACAGAGATGAGTAGACATGGGACACTTTGAGAGAAAATCCCCAGACTCTGTAAGATGGACCCCTTTCCCTCTTTCATCCATCCAGCCTCTGAAAGCTTTGAAACTGTGCCAGCCTAATAAGAGTCCCCAATTACAGCTCATTTTTAACATGCAATTCTGCACATGCCCCAAAAAAGTAATTAAATAAATTATTCCAGCTGAGGGTATAGTTAGCCAACTGCATCAGCAATTCATTTATAAATTAAAAAAGGCAGCTCGCTTGCCCTCTGACCATTCACATCATAATATTTATAACTAATTGGAGCATCACAATGCTTTTAAAAAATTTTTAAGTCTCTTGTTTTTGGTGTTACATCTTTCTGAAGATTCCCAGAGAGCTGTCAATAATTCATGATATAGAAACTCCTCGCTTTATTTAATCCTCTGTAAATTATCCAGGGCACAAACACCTTGGGCTGACATGCTCACCTCAGCTAGCAAACAGCACCTGAGACTAGTCCTTCCACCAGCCCTGCAGAATAGTTTACACACTCATAAACCTGTGCTTTGTTGTTTTGATTTTGTTTTTGCAAAATACTAGATTAGATCCAAGTACCTGACTTGCTTTAAATAAAAGAGGACAGAGTCATACATTAGAGAAGGAATCAAGTTAGATTGTACTCCAGAAGTGGAAAAAAAGCCATCAAAAATAAATATGCAGTGTCACTTGTAAAAGAAGAGGGGCAGCTCCAACCCATGACAAAATGAGTAGCCATTGTCCTGCTAACAAAGGTTACTTTAGCAGACACAAACATTCTAAGGCTAGTTGCCATTTTAGAAAAGCACTACAATGACATCAAAGCCTCAAAAAGAAATCATTGAATGATCCTTTACCATATCTTAGTAGGTTTATTTGGGACTGTGATTGAGACAGAATATGATGTATGATTCAGCAAGATCAGTGCTGAAAGTCAAAGGGAATGTAATTCTAATATTTGTTCCGGTGTTGTGGTAAAGCAGGAGCAACAGAGTAATATAAATGATCTTTACCATCACCTTTGTAAAAAGATAATAATGCAGGTTGGGGATTTAGCTCAGTGGTAAAGTGCTTGCCTAGCAAGTGCAAGGCCTCGTCCTCAGCTCTGGAAAAAAGCAAAGGCAGGAAGATCACAGAAAGCTTGAGGCCAGCCTGGTCTCTCTAGAGAGACTCTGTCTCAAAAGCAGCAATGCAGAATTTAAAAAACAGATAATAATGCATCTTCTTATCTCACAAGACATGCAGAGATTGCTGAAACACGAATCCTGAGCTTAAATGCAGATTATAGATTATACATCTAAAGAAAATCGGCAATATGTGTTCTTTGGTCCCAGCTGGGCAAAATAGCTTACCTTTAGGTCCCCTCAAGCCCAGAGCACCAGGGGGACCTTTGATGCCTGGGAGACCACGAATTCCCATCTGACCTGGGAAACCATTCTCTCCAGGGGGCCCAGGAGGCCCAGGGGGACCAGGCCTCCCTGGCAGACCTGAGGCTCCTGTATCTGGACGCTTGAGACTAGCAGCCATCTCAGCAAAATGCTCTGAAAGACAATAAAACACAGTTGGATACTTTTCCACCCAGTTTCCTGAAAGATGCTTCCCTGGTGCCTGCCTCTGAACTCAGCTTTCCTGGGATCATTTGACCCTGGATGTTTAGAAACAAAAGGGTAAGGCTTAAACTTCAGGGCTTCAAGACATTGATGCCTTAGAATATTCTAGAAGGAGGAATGTGCCACTTGAATCCTACCTGAATACCACCAGGTAAAACTCTCAGATGGAAAGAAAATGAGTTTCTTAACATATCCAGAAGCTTTTGAAAAGCCAAGGCTATCATGCCAAATTAGGGTTCAGACACTATTTGAGACTTAGCATCAGAAACTAAAAACCTTTTTAGTTTGAAAGACATTACATAATCTAAAATATCATGAGGACTCATGACTTCTAATAAATCTTCCTCTAATTTATTTGTTTGGAATATATAACAATCATTAAAAATAACCTCCCTTGGATAGGGTCACAATCTGTCTTAAAAATCAATAACTCTGTGGGCTTCTTAGATAGACTCCAAATCACCTGCTAAAGCCTCAGAACGCAAGAAAATCTCCCCATTAAAATGCTGTAAGGGAAATATTCTAGCATAATATTATTTTACAGCTTTAGGCTGTGAAGGAGAATACAAATTGGAAACAAATTTCTAACTGAACTTATTTCTAACCAAAATTATTAAAATGTGAATATTTTAAATATGCCTTAATTTAGTAAACATAAAATTATAATTTCCTAGATATGTTAATGTAATGTTTAAAACTGAAATGGAGACAAGGGAAAATGTACTGTACATTGGTTTCCAGATACAGAGGCATTTGCTGCGTTTTCATCCAGTTCTGGAGACTGCTACCAGGCTATTGGACAAACTGGACTGTCTACTAGCATTCCAGAAAAGCTCATTTCTTCAAGGCATAATTGGTTTCACAAGAATAGGATGTTTTCCTGTTAGAGGGCTCCAGTGTTAGTGATTCCAGCTTTAGGGTATTTTTTTACATCTTTGTTTTCTGTGTGGTTTTGTAACTATCGAATTTTGGTACAAATAACAATTGCCACAGCTGTTATAAATCTAAAGATTAACAAATGTGAAAATACATCACCATTTTTGGAAAGCTGTCAGTCATTCCTTTTTTACACACATAGTATATGAACAGAAATAACACCCTCATACTTCTTATAGGCACAGGGTCTGTCATTCAGTGATCACATAATTTAGAGAGATCCTAGAACAGTGCCAGACACATACTAAGTGGTAGCATCTTAAGGTAGGAGAGGTACCTGAGAATCTGTGTTGCAAAGGAGAAAGTTCTGGCATATATGTATGTGTATGTAATAATTTATTGTAAGGTTATAAGTTATTATGTGCAGCAACAATTGGATAAAACAGAACTTCTATTAACATCCCAACCTTTAAAGTCACTGTTATTTACTCTTGTATACCTATGAAAATAAAAGTTTAAGACACCAGAGCTTATAACAGGAACAGTTAAAGCCTTGTGTTTCTCTTACCTTGCAGGGCTCTCATGCAAACCTGCTTAATGTGTTGATCTGTGGGCGCTCTACCCTGGAACAGGAAAGAAGAGTTTATAATTCAAATTATAAAGAGAACACTGTTAAATTGCAAACACACAGACTACAAGGAACCAGGTGGTTGAGTTATGAAAGAACTTACAGCTGATAGGCTGGCATCTACCCCAGCCCTGCTGAGACAGGAGCCACCTAAAGGAAACACCAGCGGGGGAGGGGTACCCATCACTCACCGGAAAGCCCTGGATACCAGGCAGGCCAGTGGCACCCGGTTCTCCCTGCACACCCCGAGGTCCAGGGGGTCCTCTTGGTCCTTCCACTCCAGGAAGCCCTCTAATTCCTTCAGGCCCTCTCAGACCTGGCTCCCCAGGGTTACCCACCTAGAACAAAACAGTACACTATAAACAAGACTAGACACAAGCAATGTTCCAGGTTAGCGTTAATACACTAACACTTAGATGAAATTTTAGTTTTCCTACAATTTATGTTCTGAGTGGTGTCAGTTCAGTAGTTACCCCAAGGTTGGAGATTCAGAATACCATTCAACTTCTCACCAGTCTCTTAGAACTCCAGTTCAAGCAAACTTGTCAAAGTCTTTATTATTTCAAAATCTTCACTGGAATAAGATATATTTAAGAACACATTTTTCATACCTGAAGCCACTCCCTAAGAGCAAGCCAGTGGTTTGGGTTTTCTTGTTCTTGCTTTGTTGCTAAAGATGGATTCCAGGGCCTTGAGCATGATAAACACATGTTCTAACACTAAGCTGCAGCTCAGCCCATGCAAGTTAGTTTTGTGAGTGACTGATGGGTGTGTGTGTGTGTGTGTGTGTGTGTGTGTGTGTGTTCATGTGTGGGAGCCCATGTATAAAGGACAACCTTCAGGGGCCAGTCCTCACCTTTCCACTCTGTATGAAATAAGGTCTTTCTGCCACTGCCTAAGCCAGGGCAGCTTGCCTAGGAGCTTCTGGAGATTGTTCTGTCTGCCTCCCTGTTCCCATAGGGCATTGGGATTACAGAGGCTTGTGCTCCTAGGACCCATTTTTGCATAGGCTCTGGAGATCAAAACTCAGGTAATCAGACTTGGGTGACAAGAGCTTTGACCCCCTGGGCCATCTCTCTAGCCTACCAGTTAGATTTTTAAATAAGGATTGCTAACATTTTCTGGTCATAAAAAGCTCCCCGAATTCCTCCAATATATGCTATTTAGATATAGTCAATGCAGCAGGCATAAAACAACATTCCAAGGATATAAGGTATTTGGGCTTTTAAAAAAATATTTTTGGTAAACTTCCAGACAGTAGGTACAGTCAGGAATTATTGAATACTAACATAGACAGACCCAGTTTACTTAAAATACTAAGCTAAAAGAAAGAAACTTCAATTTTAAGCAAGAAGGGAATTAAAATCTATTGCCAGGCATGTGTTTAATCCCAACACTTGGGAGGCAGAGGCAGGCAGATCTCTATGAGATCAAGGCAAGCCTGGACTACACAGCAAGGCCCCAGCTGAGGCTAAAAAAAAACCACTCAAAATAGTAAAGACATTAAATAATAAGCCTTGTTTTCTCAGTGGAAATGCATACATACAAGCTAGGGTTTTATTTTGTTTTTCTTAAAGCAGACTACTGAAAGCATTTAAAAGATTCTTCATATACAATAACTGCTTCTAAAAGAGACTGAATTAATTTGCTTTTTTGTGAGACTAAAACTTGTTAAATCTCTCTGTTAGAATCTGTGGCAAAGTAGCAATAATGTGCTGTTGTTCAGAATGAGAACGAGAGGATAAAAGGACAGGAGGCAGTCAGGGAGTTCTGGTGTTCGAGACACAAATGTTCTCAAAGCAATTTAATCCTGTCTCTTTTTCCTATGCAATGTCTATTTATGAAAAGCTAACTGTCAAATATTCAAATTTTTTTAAGCTCAAGGGAAGAAAAGATTTAACTGCAGACATCCAAATAAGGCTTGACAAGTATGTTTCCCAATTTCTATTTAGGCAAAAAAAAAAAGTTGATATTCATCTAAGTCAACTTGCTAAGTAAGAGTGCTTCTATAAGGAAATTACGAGTTAAAAGACTTCCTGAAAGACATCAACAACAAGGAGAGGGGACGTTATACAACACGAAGCTGCAAACTTGTCAGGCACCCAGAGTGCAAAACTCTAAATAACCCAAAGGAAAGCAAAAATGAACTGAAAAAGACACAGAAGAAACGGCCAAACTGAAGACTACTCTCTCACTGGCAAAGACTAAAACTGCTACTGGAATAAGGGACAGGGACTCTTGGATGAAAAGATCAAAGGGCAACATATCATAGGGACCCCAGATCCTTCAGAAGGAATTCTTCATTTGAGAAGGTCGGTACACCGAAGCAGAAATTGGGTTCCAGATGCTACCGACTTAACAAGTTCATCTATGCTGGAATCAAAGTGGAGGGTGAAAGCTTTCATTTTAGTAAAGATTTTTCTTGCTTCTGGGACAGTATGTTCAGTTCCTTCAGTATTACTTGATCAGTGCCAGGTAAGCAGGGAGGCGAGAAGAGATGAACTAAGGGCTAATTCCTAATATAATATCCTAATCGTAATGCAATAAACCTAAGTTAGTCACTATGTTAAGGATCATTTTTTTTCTTTTGTACTCTGAATTCTTTCCACAGAACATTACTGAATATTTGGAGATAGTAATAAGATTTCTATCACCAAACTCACCAAAGTTTACTGAATATATCTGCTGTAATCTTAAACCATTCCTTTCCAGTATTCTTAGGTATAAGTTTGCTTGAAGCTTGGTGTTCAGAGGCAGGTGAGTTAATACAGTGTGATTATAACCATGCTGGTGATGGGCATACAGCCTACATCTGGGCACTGAAACCAAATTTGGTGAGGGTGGATTTGAATGCCAGTCTATGGTAGCATTCTAAAGATGAAGGCAGCTAGTTCAACACTAGAAGTGTTAAACAGCAAGGCAAGTAAAAGCACTGCAAATGGATACGGCTCCAGACACCAAGGAGATGAGTTGGGTAAACAAAGAACTATACATCACAGGCTTGGTGCACTTTGCTAATAGTCTGATTTTACTCTATAAAACATTATTAAGATTTTTTTTTTGGAGACAGGGTCTCCCTGTAGTCAGAGCTGACTTAGAACTCACTATGTAGACCAGGTTGGCCTTGATCTCATAGAGATCCACCTGCCTCTGCCTCCCAAGTGCTGGGATTAAAGGTGTGCACCACCAGGTCTCCCTGTAGTAAGAGCTGGAACTCATTATGTAGACCAGGTTGGCCTCAATCTCATAGAGATCCACCTGCCTCTGCCTCCCAAGTGCTGGGCTTAAAGGCATGCACCATCATACTCAGCTTATTCTTTAGGCATTTTGAGGGATGGGGGGATTCTCTTTTTATTTAGGTTGTATTGGCTGCCATGAGGATAGTTTGTTGAATAGACACAGGGAAATGGGGAATGCTGCAGATATAGTAAGAACTTGAGAATTCCCTGGAAGCTGGTGCTGGTGGCATTTGAAACTGCCATCTGAGCTTCCTTTTTTCTTTAAATTGAAGTTTCTAATTGTATTAATGTGTGTATTAACAAGTCACCTCAGGTTTCTACTAAATAGATCTATAATTCTGAATTTATCTAATCTCTAAGGATCTACGTTTAGTTTCTGTAAAATGACAAATTTAAACAAGCTGATCATTTTCTAGGTCTAATAATTCCCTATTACATTTTTTATGTGTTATGTCTCTTATTTCCTCAACTAGAACACAGAGGTGATTAAGAAAATTACAGAAATATCTTGCAATAGTATAACTGCCAATGAAATTCAGTTATACTCTCGTCACTGCAAAGCACATGTCAGTTCTTTAAAAATTACCCATTTGGGGAGAAAATTAGAATATTATGATAGAACAACTCACTAAATCATTTGTAATATGAAATTTTTTCCTTCAGCATAGTTAGTTCAAAAGTTAGAACCTTTTCCATCGTTGTGATTTTTTTTTCTATTAGATTAATCCATTACCTACAGAGCAAATTTAGACATTTATTTCCTTGAAGTTAAGTCCTTGAAGCATTGAATTTTATGGAATGATTTCATAAGGATGGGTATTACATTTTCTACAGCTTTATTGATATTTTCAATTTTTTTATATCATTACTGTTCGTTATACTTACGGATCCCTTTGGGCCAGGTAATCCCATATCTCCCTAAATCAGTAAAAAGAAAAATATATTAAAACAATATATTCACATTAGACAGTTATTGAAAACATTTTTTTCAAAAACTATTGTATACTAAAATATAATCATGTGCAGATTAACCCCAGTACTGAAGAAAATATATTTGACTCAAAGTGTGGATTGGAGTTCCAGCTCTCCTGCTTAATTCTGTGTCCTGTCTGAGCTAGACAACCTCCCAGCCCTTGGCTAACTGATCTGCTAAATAACAGGCAGGAATCAGTGCTCTCCCTGCTCCATGCAGATCTAAAATGTCCATCACCAAGATTGAAAATGTGTAGACTAAAAGACATAACAAAAAAAAAAAACAAACACTTTGTTATCAAGTGCAATAGATGTTTAAAACTATCTATTGAGATTTGATACTTGTTTTTTTATCTCCATGGGGATTTTTTTGCACTTTAATTGAATATTTGCAATTTTCATACAATATAGTTTGATGGCACTTAGATTCACTCCCCTCTCCTCACCTCCCCCGACTGCACCCCACCGAATGTAAATGTAATGAACTTTAAAAGAAGATGACTTGTGTCCCCCAGTGTCGATCCATTCAGTGGACCCACCAAGGGTCCCAACCCTGTAAGACACTGTCTTTCCCACTCCCAGCAGCCACCAATTGCCTAAGTTCCTTAGGCTGGGTTCAGATTTCTTACCCACTTCCGCATGCCTATGCTGGGATTTTGTCTGATTTGAGCTTTCATGGGACTTGTGCATGCTGTCACCATTGCTGAGAGTTCATATGAGCAACTGACCAACTGTCTGGAAAACTCTGTTTCCTTGTGATCATCCCACCTTTCTTCTGCAATGTCTCTTACAATCTTACCACCTCTTTTTCTGCAATGATCCCTGAGCCTATCTCCATGTTTTTAAAATTCATTCCTCAAAGTCTATCAAAATACGCATGCTTTTAGGCTTAAAAAAAGAAAAAACCTTAGAGATCTTCCCACTATTAACTCTAGATGAGTTTGGTTCAGATAATCTCCACTACAAAACAGAATGATTTAAATTTTATAACATTCCCTTGTCCCATAAAAATGGACAACTTCTACAGAAATTAAGTGGAATAATCTCAGAAATCTACTTTTAAAAAAAATCAGGAAGCAGATATTCAGTCATTAAAGTCTGAATATGTCAGCAGATTTTCTTCTACACTCAAATCTCTCTAAAGCTAGTTCATAAAAAAAGCTCTCACCCAGACTCTCCGAAGACTAAAACTTAAGTTTCTACATTAGGTTTTGATAGTTTCTCTCAAAACTACTCCGATGAGGCAAGAGACCAAGCAGTTCTACAGAAAGACAATGCACTCTATTCTTGTCCCTTTTTTGGAGATTCATCAGTCTCATTCTCTGAAGACGGAAGTAACTTCTTTAGAGTTCTTGCCCTCGGTCAGATTTGTGAACCACAGCTTCCTGACTACAAAAACCTTGTAGGTGTTATTCCTACACTTGCTGTGGTTCTGTACAAATGACCTTGAATGTCTCAATGTAAAATCACACAAAAAATTCACCATCTCTAAGGAGATTCTTCTGAAATTTAAAACCAGCTCTACCAAGCTGCTTTACTAGATCTTGGATACAGTACTGGGACTCTTGTTTGAATAGAGAAGGAGCACCTTAGCCCTTAAAGAGGGTGATGAGAATAACAGTCTCTGAAAAAAAAGAGATATTGTACATATTTTTTCAAAATTCTTAGTTTCACCATTAACCAGGATTAAAAAAAAAAAAAAAAAAAAAGCTTACAAGATCACCCCTTCCTCCTGCTTCACCTTCTTCACCAGAGGCACCCTAAAAATTAAGGTAACATGTTACATGTTTTTCATTTTTAGTCCATGGATCAACTTGGACCACCCGACTTTGATATGCATTTGTAAATGCCCCAATGTTCCCCAGATCCTGCAGAAGTATTAAGATGTTCTCAGTCATGTTCTAAACTGGTAGGCCAGTCCTAACCAAAAAGGTAGCCTAGAGAGAAGTCAGAAGTGATACTGAGTTTCAGCTGTTAATTAATTTGAGTTTAACTTAATTTAACAGACATATCTAGCAATTGTGTAATTCTATGGCCCTTGTAAGTGGGAATCTTATAACAGAAAGAGGAACCCAGAGAGAGGGCTGACTCAAATTCATGTGCATATTTTACTTGCTGAGGTCTTGATAATAAAATACTTAAAATACTATTTTGTGGCTTTGAAAGGCTATATCAGACATGAGTAAGCAAATTTGGTGAACCAGAGAGACAGGGCCACCCTGTTCAAAGGAAGGGCACTGTGTGGTACAGGAGACAGCCATTATTTGCTCCAGTAAACAGATGAGGCTACACATCAAACTTGAATGCTCATTACTGGTTTTAGTCACTATAAAGCACACTGAGAAAAGCCGTAACCTACTATCACTTTATCACACCTATAATCCAGTCAGTCTTGTCCTTGTGAAATGGTACATAGCAAACACCACTAGCCAAACACACAACTTACCTGTTCACCCTTTGGACCTGGTTCACCGAATACACCCTACAGTGAAAAAAATGCAACACTCTTTCAGTACTTTTGTTTTTATTTTTAGTTGTATTTATAATCTCAGATGAATCAACATCCTCTAAACAGCTGATGGATATTGTCAGATGGGAGAAAACCTCCCCATGTCTTCTCACTGAATAAGGATCAGGGGAGACCTGGAGAAACCAACAATTGTTTCAAGAATCTCTAGTAACTGGAGGTTGGAGAGATGGCTCAGTGGTTAAGAACACTGTTCTTGCAGAAGACCCAGGTTCGAATCCCAGCACCCACATGGCAGCTAACAAACTGTCCATAACTCCAGTTCCAGGGGATCCAACAGCCTCTTCTAACCTCTGCGGGCATTGCACAACATGGGTGCACTTACATACATGCAGGTAATACACGCATACACATAAAATAAAAATAATAAATAAAATTTTTTAAAAATCTCTAGTAACGGGGTATTTTCTGTTTGCATCCATGTGAACTTTCACCAATAGGAATATCAATTTAGAACTAAATAAAAACTATGATTGCAACTGTGTTTTACTTTTCTCTCTTCTGGTAAGTTATTGGACTTTTTTTTTTATCTTAAACTGTCAGCAATTTAACATACTTAGAATGGTATTTCTTCATGATAAACACAAGAAAAAAATCTTTATTGGGCAAAATCAAGCTGGATTCCTCCAGTTTAACATAAATCTTCATTCCAGAAAAGGAATTGTGCAGAGTACAGGATACTTACCCTATCACCTTTCAATCCAGGAAGTCCAGGGGGGCCAGGCATGCCAGGGAGGCCAGGGCTACCAAGAGGTCCCTGGAAAACAAACAGAATCTCCAGAGTCACTGTGTCTGCAATACTAAAAGACCACAGGCCAGACAGGGCCTTGGGTGTGTTACTGCATGTCTAAAATAAGTGCATATTTGGTTTATTGCTGCTGCTGCGGTGTCCGTCTTTCCTGCACTCCCAGGAGAAGAGGGACCAGTGGCCTCCCACCCTTCATCCCACCTCTGAAGTTCTGAATTCCCTTTGCTCAGCTCTGCAACAGTGGACACTTTCAGTGAAGTCCCTGCAGCATGCTGCTGCTGCTCCTGCTGTGTAAACAGGATCTATGCAAGAGGCAAAAGAAGCATTCATTCACAGTTCTCTTCCATTCCAAGAACAAGCAGCCGCCAAATGTAACGCTCCTTCCAAGTGTGGTGTTGCTTCGTGTCCCTCCTAGATTTCAAATGCATACTACAGACCACACTGATCAAAATACCCTTGGAGGAGATCCTAGATATAATTTGAAATTCCACATTTATATTTTCACACACTCACCTAACAGAAATCAAATACAGCTGATGAAATGACCTTTTGCAAATTGGTTTTCTCTGCTTGCCAATTTTTAAAACTCTATTCTGCTTTGCACAAAGCAAACATGTAGGGATTGGAAGCATCACTTACCAGTTTACCCGGTATGCCTGGGGATCCTGCTGGTCCTATTTCCCCTCTACTGCCCTGTGAAAACAACAGCATCATTGTCAGCAAGATACTTAAGCTAGAATCAAATGCTTACTTATTATGTAAAGAAAATAACATTCTACTCAGGTTTTTGTTAAAATACAAAAGCCACCAAAATATTCTCCCCTCCCTTCAACTGAAGGCACAGCCCCCCTATAAAGTGCCTATACTTATCAGTGCTCCTTGTTCATTGACCTCTCTAATGCTGCTCATTGTATGACAGGCCACTGGAAATATCTGATACATGCACATGCATGACAGTCATTTTCGATGTGTAAGTCACATTTGAATTTATATTATGGCTCTTCATATACATGTTTTACCCCCACACTCAGATGCTCCATTGTTGAGGTGTTACATGACATACTTTCAGTGTTTGTGATACAAGGTAAACTTTCAGGCCCATGGAATATTTTACAGTAGGACCTGGAAATCGATCTCTTACCTCAAAACACACACACACACACACACACACACAGACACACAAGTCAGAGATATTTACTTTAAGTTACTACTATAATTTCAAGAAGACACAGATGGGAGAAATTTAGAAACTTTCTGAGATAAAAATTTCTTGTTTCACTCATCTAGGTCTAAATGTGTCTTATAGAATTAAAGACTTTGGGAAAAGTGTGATTCGCTATGAAGATATGCTTACGGCGATGCTAATTTTATTTTGTGGGCCAATTTCAATTTTTTATTTGAAATCTACCTCTTCACATTTCTATTTGAAACCCTAAACTTTAAAGAAAAAATATAGGAGAATCCATGCATGATGTCTTCAACTTCTTTTCTTGGGAACTTCATACAGTTTCATGCAATCTGATAAAAGCCTATTTTGTATTTAACATTATGCTCAACTGAACTGAGAACTGTTGATCCTTTAGATAAACAATCATCTCCTTCCAGGCGTACCATAAAACTGAAAGAAATCGTTTAAGTTAATTTTTCTTTAAAACGATATAGCAGCTCCGTTTTAGAAATTAATACTAATAAATGCTTCTGGTAAGACATACTGTTCTGGCCTATATGTTATTCATTCACCTTTAAGATGAACCAGGTGTCGTGGCCTGTAAACCTTCTAAATTTCCAATCTCCCTAAAGATTGTCATGTTAAAACAGCCTCTGGCTCTGGTCTATAATTTCATGGTAGTCATTTTATATATGTATGGATGATTTAAACTAAATATGCTTAAATACTTTCCAATAATTTTTAAATTAACAACCTGTCAGGTATGAACACTTAGGATAATACACTGGTCTTTAACTCTCACAAGAACTTGGAAACTAGAGTCAGTGTTCTGTTGGGATGGATGCTGGAAAGATATAAATCTAGGTGAAAAGCAAGCACTACAAAAGGTTTTTCTATCCCTCTGTAAAGACTGACTTCTGGCTCATCCTCAGACAGCCACTGTCTCATGGGCTCCACCTCTCTCTGGGAAATTCTTGGCTACAGATTGATGTTAAAGGAGAGCAGTGGCTGTCTTTAATGGTGTCTCCACTGGCAAGTTCCCCATGCTCCAGGGGATAGCTTCACACCCATGTGCACATGGATGACCCTGGTTAAACTCACTGGGTCACCGAAGAAAAACAAAACAAAAAGACATAAAAATGAGAGGGAGATGTGTTGGGAAGTAGGTCAGAAAACATTATACACATGTATGAAATTGTCAAAGGAAATGTTTGTTATAAATTGTAGAAAAATAAAGGCTGGCTTCTGTTCCATTCATTTGGCCTAAAACTTCCAGGTTCACGACAGCTTCCCTTCAGTATATGTGCTCCACAGGCATTTCAAACAGTCCTCAGCTGCATCATGTTGGGCACCCTTAATGCCATTGGTCTAACATGAGTTCAATTCACAAATACCAATAGTCATCGGTGAGGAAAACTAAACATCAGAAAAAAGTGGAGATCCCAACAGAGTCTCAAGTACTGACTTCTAAATAAATAAATCTTATGCACCCTTATCAAAATTAATGATGATTTAATTACTTTTAATGGGAGTAATTAAGCAAGGCACTAACAACCACAAGTGTGCTAAATAAATGATAAGACCATCATGCTCTGGCAGCATAGAGATCACCACTCTCAGGGATGAACGAGAGGGTACTAAAACGGCTATTCTTCCCAGCGGCTGGTATTCACACACCCCGTGACAAGTAAGTTTCCATTTATAGCAAGAGAATCACAAGGAATCAGAATAAAGACAATTTTCCAGTAAAAATGTGGACCATAAGAAAAGGCTCTATGATTCTCTTGGGTATTCTGTATTTCTACATACATCTCTGACAAATTCAGACCCATCTGCCAAAGCATGCCTCTTAAGAAGTCAATCGGGGCTTTAGAGAAGATGCAGAGCATCTGTCCCAGCCATGGCTATGCATGTGCCTCTCTGAGTCCTTTAAAGTGCTGCTCTGGTGTTTTGCAGCATGTCACTCACCGCCCCTTATTTTTATTCAGTTCTCTTCACCTCTGATTCTAATTCTGTAAGTCTCGAGTAACACCCTGGAATTACTTTAAGTTTGTGTGTTTGTCTTTACCAACTTTACTTAGGCTTTGATAAAAGCTTAAGATTGAAAGTTCTATATATCTTAAATTTAAAAACTACTAAGTGTCTTATACCAAGAGACTTTGAGAAACAAACTTGAACTGAAAACGATGCTACCATGGCTGTTATGGCTCAAGCTATGGGGCATGAGAGTACAGACAGAGACGTGGACACCGAGCCCCACTGCCAAGCTCAACGCTGGACTCTTCATGCATGGCTGATACCTTCAGGTAAGCAACAATATACATAAATCAGACCAGTGACCAGGTCATAGGATGCAATCTAGAAGTACTAGTTATTATTGTTATTAATTACTAAAGAACAAAATTGTGTTTCTTAAACAAATAATTAAATATTCTTTGTCTTTCAAGTTCCCTAAGCAGATTTTTTAAATTGTTTATTACACTTATTTATTTGTTAAGGGAGGTGACACCCACCATGTGGGTCCTGGGGATTGAACTCAGGTTGTCAAACTTGCAGAGCAAGTGCTGTACCCTCTGAGCCACCTCTTCAACACCCTAACTTTCTTTAAAAGCGTAAGTTGCTTAGAGACTAAGTCCTAAAGCCTCAGGTCTCCAATTTCTATAAACATCACTGATTATCAAGCAGATACTTTTTTAATACAGAAGTTCTAGATGCTACTTTTTCAAAATCATTTCTGTAAATACGTTGAAAAAAATTATTCAAGTTGAAGTTTTTCCCTTTTAAATGAAACTATTAGACTTTTAAAAGATTACCCGAAAAATGGGAAAATTTAATTATAGATTAAATGTTACCAGATTTATTTTCCAAAATAACAGATGCTATTTCATCATGCTTTAGTTTGTAATGACTATCGTATTTCCCATATTTCTCAAATTACCCAAAATGATAAGAAGCTGAAGACTGAATACCAACTTTAGTGCATGCTTGGTATATTGTAGAAGCGAGAAATTATACACGATTATATTCAGGCTTTTCTGTATACTAAGTGCCTCTCTCCAGCAAAGGGGGCACTGATTTAACACATGACAGCAGTTATGATTTATCTAGACTGTTAGTTTAATTAATCTATTTTTATATTAGCAAGAGATCATATGAGTCCTATCATAATGACGACTTTTAGATTTGCTACAGAGATTTTTTTTTTTTTTTTTGGTCTTTTTTGAGACAGGGTCTCCTTATAGCTACAGCTGGCCTAGAACTTACTATGTAGACCAGGCTGGCATTGCTCTCACAGAAATCTGCCTGCCTCTGCCTCCCAAGTGCTAGGATTAAAGATGTGTACCACAACTCCTGGCTACAAGGCTATTTTTTAAAAAATTCAATTTTATGATGTTATATAGCTGTTTTTATCTCATATACATTTAAATATTCCTTCATACATAGGCAGAGAAAAAAAAATCTGTCTAAACTCTTAGCATGACACATGTCATCTTCACCAGTCATTGCCAGGGGCTGGCAAGTATAGTGGTGCGGCTTTGGATATTCAGCAACACACCTTACGGTCCCCATATGGAGACCACTCTGTCTGAGGCTGTTGTGTTGGGGTGAGGTGAGGGTCTCCGAGAGAAGTACAGGAGAAGCACATGAGTCAGAAGTAGGAGAGTCAGCGTGGTGTATGCCCCAGGCAAAGCCAGAGGGCAGAGCAAACAGCCAAAGACAAGGAAAGCTCTAAGAAGCCTAGAAGGAGGCTGGCCAGCCTCCACTAGCCTGTAGTAGCAAGCCTCAGAAGCCAGGCTGTTTGCCAGCTCTGAATTAAGAGCTGTGCAGACCAAATATAAGCCAAGCTGGAAAATGGAATGGAGAAAACTGGAACATGGCATGTGCTAGAGAGAGGTACCCCAGGAAATCACTAGAGGCTCAAACATATATATACTAATGCTTTTTGCAGTCAACTTAACAAAAAATGCACTTCAAAGGTATGTATCTTGGAAACATTAGACATGGTCTCAACTCTCCTCCTGCACGTGCTTTGAGATTTGCAGGAAAAAAAATTGATCAAACTTGTGAGGCAGACATGGAAATGTGTGACTCTAGCTACAAAACTGAATTAAATGATGTAAGATGAAAGAATAAATGCATCCTCCAGTAATTAGATCTGGTGTTAAAACATTGTTCCAGAACTATAATATTTATAACTTATCATGACATTTTTCTGAAAAATTTATAGTAGGTGAGAAGTCAGTTATTACCAATGAAAGCAGCCTAGTAGAATTTATTATGCCTCCAATTCAGTTTAAGAAACATTTATTGAGTACTACCTTATGGGCAGTCCTAAGTAAAGGGATGGAAGGAACACAGGTAAATCAGATACATCATGGGCTTCCTGCAGTCACCAGAGCAAGGGGCACAAAAAAGTCAAAGGAATAGAAATAGTCAGGGTCAGAGAAATAGAAAAGAGCCATATGGATGTAGAGCTCGATGTAAAGGAAAACAAGTGGCCTAAGAGGTACCCAGAGCACTGAGGGATTTGCATGGACTGGTCTGACCAGAACAGGGGGTCTAAGCAAAGTAGAAATGAGCAGTGAGGCCTGGGGCCGTGGGGTTCATGCTTGCAAGCATAAAGAATGGAGTTAGGATCCCCCAAACTCTGGGAAAATGCCTACCTACGATTTCAGTCATCCACAAATGGAGATAGAGAATCCCTGGTGCAAGCTGGCTCACCAGCCTTGAGCTGTCAGCAAGCTCTGGGTTCACTTGAGAGACTCTGCCTCAGTGAACAATGTGGGGAGCAATTAAGAGACTCCCGACATCCACCTTGGACCTCTACATGTACATGCATGCATGTGCATGAGCACACACACACGTGCCCACACACATGTGAATACCCATACGCATACATGCACACCAGACACACGAGCATGTGAAGAAAATAAGAAGTAAAGCTAGGAGGTTGTCAAACAGTTTCAGATTTCAGTGTTTCTCATCAGTATAAATCCATTGAAAGATTTTTAAATGGAGAGGAAAAGTTAGGATGAAATTGTACTGTGGAAAGACTAATATGGTGGTGTGTGCAGACTGGAGGCAATGCCATTTCTCGGGGCCTTTGGAATTGTGTTTGACACTTTCGTTTGTCTCAACAACTGTGGTGAGTACCCTGGTACTCTAGAGTCATGGGTGTGAGATACCATAAGATGTGCAAGAGTCCTAGAGAACAAGGAAGTGGCTCAGTCAAAATATCAGTGGTGTCCTGTGGAGACACATTGGTAGAGGAAGGAAAGACTGGAGTTGATAGATCAAATAGTGGATCACTGCAATAACCCAAGCAGCAGGAGTTAAGCTGAGCCAGGGTGACATAAAAAGTAGGAACAGAACATTCAGTCAATGTAAGAGATCCTTAAAAGAAGACAGCATCAACATGTCCTGCTACAGGCAGGAAATGGGATGGAAGAATAACAATATTTTGAGCCTCCGTGACAGGAGAAGAATTCAGATAGACAGACAGATAGACAGACAGGCACGTATACACACACACACACACACACACACACACACACACACAGAATGCTCACCAGTTAAGTGTAAAGGATACAAAGCAATGAAGAATCAGAGATGGAACATTAGAAAGGGGTGGGAACATATGATTCTTGAGTGTGTGTGTGTGTGTGTGTGTGTGTGTGTGTGTGTGTGTGTTCAGTGTATCCTCCTGGTACACAATAGGTGCTCAGTCAATAGTCATTCAACTAAATGCAGCTTTTTGCTCAAAAAGTGAATAACGGCTACAACAGTAAAAACTCACAATGTTCTATCTCCCTGACACTTCCACATCTCCCTGGGTCAGTCATGGAGTTTTTACTGCTCAAGAAATGTGATCTGGTTTTAACCTCAACACCTTGACAGTTAATTTGTGGAACATATTTTGGTTAGAAATACACAGGCTTCAGGCAAACGGAAGAAACTAATAAGAAGTGAGCAAGGAGCATGATTAGGAGCAGGAACTGGGTTTCTATGGCTGCTGAGGAACCTGGTAGAGGTCAGTTACAGACAGATATAAGAAAGAGAAAACTCCACTCTCTCGCTGCATGACAGCAGCCAACACTTTTCTCAGGCATGAAAACACTCATTCACTATGGTCAAGGGTGCTTTAGAAGAAGCAAACATGATATTTGGAGATGTTTCTATGTTCTCTTACCTGCAGTGTTTGTGGTTTGTTTGTTTGTTTGTTTTTGTTATCCAGCCTACTGAATAAGAACTGAAACTGACTGGAGAGATTTTGTAACATCACACTGAAGTGCACAATGTTAAACCTGCCAAACAGTTTCACTCTAAGGATTACAGTGTATCTAGTATAAAACTATACATTGCTGTATTGTCTGTAAAATAGATAGGTGAGTGCACAGGTTTATACTTAAAGAATTTCAGATTTATACTGGAAGCTTCTCAAAAGGTTAAATGTAGAGCTGCTCCTTCATATGGACTCAAGAGTATGAAAACATACTTCCATACAAAAATGTATATACACAGATGTTCATAAAGTATTATTCACAATGGTCCCAAACCAGAGGCAATCCAAACGCCTGTACCAGGTGAAAGAGAGGTGATCTATTCAGGCAATTAATCCATACAACTAACTGTTCTTTAGCAATAAACAGAAATGAAATATTTAGATCTGCTAGAGAACAGCTGACTGTTGAGACATTTCACTAACTGAGAGAAGTCATATTGCATGAATCCTTCATATAGAATTTTCAGAATCAGAAAACCTATAGGGACGCAGAGGGGATGTGGGGTTGCACAGAGCTCAATGGACTGGGCGGAAATATTTAGTGCACAGGGTTTCTTTACTGGAAAATGAAAACATTCTAAAACTAATTGCCGTGATGTTTGCACAATTTTGTGACTATTCTAATAAATAAATAAATTAATTATGCACATTAAATAGGTGGTTTTTATAGTATGTGAATTATATCTCTTTGGGGGTGGTTTTACTTGTTCTTTGTTTTTTGTTTGAGACAGGGTTTCTATGTAACCACAGCTGGCCTGTAACTTGCTATGTACATCTGGCTGGCCTCCATCTCACAGAGATCTGCCTGCCTCTGCATCTTGGAATTAAACACATGTGCTACCATGCCCAATTTTTTAGTTATATCATATTAATAAATATTACACTTATTATTTTTATTTTATGTGTATGAGTGTATTGCCTGCATGTATGTAAGTGCACTCATGTTGTACAATATTCATAGAGGTCAGAAGAGGGCGTCAGATCCCCTGGAACTGGAGTTAAGGACCATTGTTAGCCTCCAAGAGGGTTCAGGGAACCAAACTTGAGTCTTCTGTAGGAGTAGCCAGTGTGCTTATCTGGTGAACTGTCTCTCCAGCCCCATTGAATTATATCTTAATAAAGCTTTTTAATCACACTAAAATACTTTCAACACAAGATAAAAGCAAAAGGGCCATTATGTTTCTTTTAAGCACTCCATTTTTTGTTGACATTTTGTGAAAAACAGATATAAAGTGCATATAGAAAATAGTATGCCCATTTTGTTGACTGGACCAGCACATGCTCAAACATTAAAAAAAAAAAAAAAAAAAAAAAAAAAAAAAAAAAAAAAAAAAATACCAGTTACATGCATCCATGAGTGAATAGAAGAACACCCAGGGGAGTCCCCAAAGGAAACTTGGAGAAAGTACTAGAGAAAAGTACTCACAGGGAGCCCCCTGGGTCCTCGAGGTCCCATCTCTCCTGGAGGCCCCTGTTGACCCTGTTATAAGGAAGCCAGGCAGAGAAAAAGTTAATTAACATCCCCTGGTAATAGCAGATTGTAGTTGATGGAAAAGTTACGTGCAATCTTACCGGTTTGCCTGAATTTCCCAACTGGCCAGGCTTCCCTGGAGCTCCTGTGTTACCCTGAAGATAAAATGTAACACTGAGAGTGATTCAGGCTGTAAGCATGATGGCCAGCCTGCCTCACCCACCTAGGTATTGTTTATATTTAAATAGCACAATAGCATCAATCCCCTGGTTTCACATTGAGAATTTGGGAGGATGCTCAATCTCTTTCTGTATGTGTGTTTGTGCACACACCTATTCATGTTTGTGCACATATATATATATATATATATATATATATATATATATATAGAGAGAGAGAGAGAGAGAGAGAGAGAGAGAACATAAATTAAAAATATAGGGTATCATTCCTCAAGCAGCAATCACCCTTTTTTCTTTTTTTTTTTTTTGAGACAGGGTGTCATTGGCCTGGAACTCATGACATAGACAAAGCTTTCTGGGGTTACAGGCATGCACCACCATACCTGGTCTTTTACAGAAATTCTGGGGATCAATCCTGTGTCCTCATGATTACTAGGCAAGTACTTTACCAACTGAGCTGTCTCCTCAGTCTATCTTTCTTGGTGAATATATCAAAGTCTTTTAGATTAGTTCAAGAATGTATTAAAGACCAAATGTCCCCTACCCCTCAAAAAGTCTTTAGCTTTTATTTAAAAGAATCTCCTTCAACTTGAAGATCATTCTTTCTTTGTGATATTGATTATACATCTTTTCTTTACCACTTCCCATATACTCCTGTGAGTCCTTTGGTCTCATATTGACAGGATTAAAAGTTGCAAGAATTAAATCAGCATGTGGAAAGCAGAGCATGACTATTGATAAAACCCTGCTGGCAAGTTCCAGGAAAACACATTGGAGATCTCTCCTGCATCATCTTCTCCACATAAGCTTCTTAGGTACTAGCCCTGCTTAAGGTGCTGTGGAGCACTATGATTGGAGTGATGAGCCCTCATCCTCTAAAAGCAGTGACTCATTTCTACTTTACTCTGTGTGTGTGTGTGTGTGTGTGTGTGTGTGTGTGTGTGTGTTCATGTGCTAGTGCACTGTGTGTGGTATGAATGCATATATGTGTTGGTTGAGTGCACTTGTGTTTAAGTGCATGGAGGCCAGAGGACACCTTCCGACATATTCCTCAAGCACTATCTTTTTTTTTTATTGTCTTTTTGAGACAGGGTCTCCCTGTAGTCCCAGCTGACCTGAACTCACTATGTAGACCAGGCTGGCCTTGAATTCACAACGATCCACCCGCCTCTGCCTTTAATCCCGAATGCTGGGATTAAAGGTGTGCGCCACCACGCCTGGCTTTTCTTTCTTTTTTTTAGGCAGGGTCTCTCACTGTCCTGGAGTTCACCAAACAAGCAAGGCCAGCTGTCCAGTGAACACCAGGTATTTGCCTATCTCTGCCTCCCTAGCAAGTGCCACAACATCTGACATTTTTGTAGGGGTCCTGAGGATCAAACTAAGGTCCTCACACTAGCAAGGCAAGCACTTTACCAACTGAGACATCTCCCCAGCCCCAACTTCTACCATGTCATGTTTTTCCTATTTTTATTCTAAAATAAAGGTATGTTTTATATCTTTGTTTTTTTCACCTATTGTTTCTAATGACTTGTACTTTAATTCAATATAGAATATAAGCTGACATAAGTTCTATGGCTTAATAATATATTCCTTATTTTAAATAGTAAGGAACCATAAAATTGTCTCTGTTTTATAATACCAAAGGATGACATTTTCACAAAGAAAGTCTAATCAGCAACTTTCTGGAGCTGGGAAACAGATTAGCATATGAAGTTTTAAAGCTTTACTTTTTATTTCTCCTGGGGGCCAAATATAAAATAAAATTCATGGTAGGCATATAAAAATTATAACAAAAATAAATTCACAGATGGATAAAGAAAAATATTAATTGAAAATTTATATTTTACCATTTCACCAGCAACACCTTTTGCACCAGGAATGCCAGGCACACCCTAAAAGAATACACACAGATTCTGAAATTAACCACCTCATTTAAGCATCCATTGGACATCACACTCACTCAGTTCCTGATATCACCATCTGCCAAGAGGCAAAAGGGATCATGCCAACCTCAAAGGCAGTGTGAAGGAAATGCTTCCTGGTTCCCAGACCAGTTAGTGATAGAACCACTCACTGTGTGCAGGACATTGCTTTACTGTATCTTACTTGTTAAGGTTGAACACTCTTCCCCTCCACCCACCACCACTTCTCAGTAGTAAGATGATAATCACCGCAATTCAGCCATATGCTTGTCATTTTACGCTCATCCAGAAGTAGGTTGAACACTTAAAGGAAACTTATAAGCTAAAGTCATTTTTCAGGATGACCTTTCAAACTAGAGTCCATAGCATTCTTCACATCAACAGGAGATCTTATGGGCAGGACAGATACTATGGGATATAACATTGCTTCATATACAGATAATAAAATTCTGCATTTTGGTCTCGGGAGTCCCAGTATTCTATGAATGCTTACAAAGTGCCAGATGTCATAACAGATTGAAAGTCAGTTCCTGGTATTACCAAACAAAGTTGGTAATAACAAATTGTCAAATCTGTGTTACTGGAAGATTTACCTTCAAAGACTCAGAAATACATACAATATCATCACATGACTTTCCAACCACACCAATGCAGGGAAGTATCAATTCTAATGCTTCAAAATCCCACATAATCCCAAACTAGTAAGCTTTCTCACAATATCCCTGAGAATTCTCTCAATCGCCTTATGGCTCAGCCCTGCTAACAGGAACTCCACAGCTGAAAAAATAGTACAAAGTCACAGAAGCAGCTCCTTGCTCTGGGTTACATAAGGAAAGACGACAACAAACAGAAGGTGATCTAAATCATAAAACCAAAGCTTTCTTTTTATGCTTATTAAAGAAGTTACCAGCTAGTCACAGAAAAAAGCCCAAAAACGTAAACGTTAAAACTGAAAAAATAAAAATAAGTCATATTTTCCTTTGAACTTACCAAATTATGTAACATATCTCACCTTCCAAATTCATCTTACATATCATGTATATAAGACAATGAATATTTAATCAATCAAATATTAATACATACCGGCAACCCCTGTAATCCCACATCACCAGGAAGTCCCGGTTTCCCAACTTCACCCTGAAAATAAGTTTTTAATCACTGAATTGGACCTTTATGAACTGCTCTATTCCTTTAAAGGATTGAAGACCTTTCAGGTAAAAGATTTTTCCCAATAGCTAACCTCAGTTGCATTTTAAAAATATTATTTAACTCAGGATAGGTGGTAGGTAGGACATAACACACAAATTCAAACACACAATTTCCTTCAGTCTATTTTCATCAATGGGGCCCTTTTACCGAGTTCCTAAAGCAAGCAAACAAACTTACAATTTTTTTTTACAAGCTTACCATGTTAATAAGAATTTTGTAGTTGACTCTTGGTTTAAGAATTAAATGGAAAAAAAGAGGGAGGCCTGGCTAACTAAATCTGGCAATGTAATAAAAATGCTGTGCTCAGCTGGCCAGGGTAAGACATCTCCACTCAGGCATGGACCCAGTCACACAGCTACCTTTGTTCCTGGCATTCCAGGTATCCCGTCTCGACCATCTACACCCGGCAAGCCCTAAAGACACACAAAGAAGCACACTGTCTCTTAGACACAGCCACATTTCATTTCCTACATTATTTTCTGAAGTTTCGTCGCAAGTCAGTAACCACTGTATGAACGGTAGACTACAGTTCAGGACATACCGTGTCTCCTTTGGGTCCAGGGGGTCCAGAAATTCCTCTGGAACCTTGAGGGCCCTGTAGAAAAAAATCAAAAGAACTAAACAAGGCATTTTCAATGATTGCAATGCTTAAGACATGCAAAACAGGAAAAATCAACAGATGACACTGTCAAGCAGGCTGTTTTGCAGTGATTAACTAATTTGAACTCACTCTGTCTCCCTTGGGGCCTGCTTCTCCTGGAGGTCCCCGTTGCCCTTGATCACCCTGTATAAAAGAAATAGAAGTTTGTTAAAATAAGCAAAAATTACTTTCTTGTGGGCTTCGAAAGCTTAGAAAGCATAGGGGGTTGGAAAGATCGCTCAGTGATTAAAAGCACTGGCTGGTCTTGCAGAGAACATGGGTTCAGGTCCCAGCATGCACATGGCCATCCACAACTCCAGCTCCAGGGTTTCTAATGCCCTTTTCTGGCTTCCCTGGTCATTGTACAACATGGTGCACTATATGGATATAGGCAAAACACTTATGCACATAAAATAGAAATAAATAAATAAAATTTTAAGTTAAAAGCATCATCCATCTTACTCAACTCTTGCTCTTTCTCTACAAGCCCTTTGATCTATTACAAATGCCCAGTTCAAAAATCTTGTGGGCTAAAGAGACGGCTCAGTGGTTAAGAGCACTGACTGTTCTTGCAGAGGACCTGGGTTCAAATCCCAGCATCCACATGACAGCTAGCAACAATTTATAACTCCAGTTCCAGGGATCCAACACCCTCTTCTGGCCTCTGCAGGTACCTCATGACATAGGTGTCCTTACATACATGCAGGCATAACACTCATACACATAAAATAACAATAAAGGTAAAAATAAATTTTTTTGAATCTTCTTGTAAAAATGATAGCCTTAGAGGCAGGCATGGTGGCACATGCCTTTAATCCCAGCACTGGAAGGCAGAAAAGGCAGGTGGATTTCTGTGAGGTCGAGGCCAGCCTGGTCTACATAGTGAGTTCCAGGCCAGCTGGGGCTACTGGGAGACCCTATCTCAAAAAGACCAAAAAAAAAAAAGATAGCCTTAGTAATTGATATTGTCATAAAGACAACTGGGGTCGCATGGTCTTTGTTTTCATTTTAGATGCACGATGATCTGTGCCATCTGGATGTACATGTGAAAGAGATTAAATTCCATGCTATAAGCAACAACATCACATTAGGTAATCCTGACTGTAGAGGCAGGCTGAGGTATGGATTAACCACCAATATTTTAATGCTTTTAAATTCCCATTTCAATAATAATGGCCTAATACACTTGATGGTGGTATATGGTACATGTGGAAATAGATGAGAGGATGGCTTCTTAAACACGGGGTTTCTTGAACTGTGAACTTCTCCAAACCCTGGCTAGCTCCTTCTTGCTAGTGAGTCAGTTCATGGCTCAGGTGAGCATTATCTATCATCCATAACGAGCTTCTACTTGATCCACTCAGTGTCATCTTCTCAACACACACTTTCCATTCAGACAACAAGAGCCTGTGATAGTGTATTGATCCTATCATCACCATGGGGCCCCTCCTGTACTTTGCTGACTTTCCTAGAATGGCTTTCTAGAACACCCTTCTTCTTAGATCCTCCCCTGTAAATTACCTCTACACCTATTCAAGAATTTGACCTTGTAGTTTGCAATTGAGTTACAATCTGTCTTTTCCATGGGACCTTGATAGTGAGAGATTCTATTTTATATGTGGTATCTGTGAGTGCTAATGGACTTTTTGTCAATATGCCTGCAAATGGGCCTGAGGCAGTCACAATAATCATATAAGTATACATGGTAGTCAAAGTACAAAAAACTGAGATAAGAAACCATCAATGAAGAAAAAGTAGAAATGTCCAGGAATGAGAAATGTGGTCATCACTGTCAATCAAAGTTTTCTAGCAACAAGCAAAAGGCAAGTAGCAAAAGGAAAACACGGTAAGCATACATAAATCGGTGACAATGTGACATATCCCATAAGAAAAGAAGTCAAACCAGAGGAATAGTCATCTATGCCCAACAGAAAGACTGTATGTTTTAAATAAATATGAAAACTTTCCCCATTTTTCCTTTCATTTATTGATTTACTGAGGCTGGGGGTTAAGTCTAGGCCCTTGAGCATGTTAGGAAAGCTCTCCGCCACTGAGCCATGTCCCCAGTCCTCTTTTCAGTTTTTACTTTGTGACAAGTTCAAACTGGCCTTGAACTCACTCTGTATCCCAGTCAGGCTTTGAATTTGTGATTCTCCTCCCTCAGGCTCTTGAGTACCTACAGTTACAGGTCTGTGCTGCCAGATCTGCCTTCGGTTTTTCCATTTCAACTTTTCACACGCACAAGGTACTTGCATATACTCATATACAGAGCAAAACAGAACAAGCCTGAGGAAAGTCTTAGAAATAATTATTTTGGCTAAGTGCAGTTCTACATCTGTAATCCTAGCATGTGAGAAGCAGAGACAGAGGGCCACTAGAAATCTGAGGCCAGCCAGGTCTACATATTGAGTTCTAGGTCAGTCAGGGCTGTATAGAAAGATACTCTATCAGAAGGAAGGGAAAGGAAGGAAATGGGAGAGGAGGGGAAGGGGAGAGGGAGGGGAAAGGAGGGGGAGTGGGAAGGGAAGAAGGGGAAAAGAGAAGGGAGAGAGGAAGGGGGAGGGAAAGGGAAGGGAAACATTAAAAAAAAAATCTATCAGTGGGTTTGAGGAAAAGAAAACCACTCACAGCTGCACCAGGAATGCCCTGAGGTCCAGGTTCTCCATCTAAACCCCGAGCACCCTGCAAAAAATAAGACAAAGAAACAAAACTCAGATCAGTCATGTGTGTTAAAGGAAATGTCCATCTCTCTAAAGAAATACAGCAGCCAGAAGGAAAGGGTTTGTTTGTTTGTTTGTTTGTTTGTTTGAAAAATACTGTATTCATCAGTGAATTCTGAGGGGCGATTCTATAGCTATTTCAGACATGAAAGCACTGGTGTGCATCACATCATGTCAACATTACATAAAGACAATCTTTGATACCATTTTGGATATTTCAAGCTAACACTACGTCGATTCTTGGTTGCTGACATCAACTCAAAACACTGGTATTTATTTAGAGACCTTGGCAAACCTACTGAAAGAGGCTTGGCAGTCATCCCTCATACCTCCCCCCACCCCATCCAGCAGTCTCAGAACAACTGTGGAAATTCATTCATGGTTAAGGTGAAGTTAAGACGAACTAAAGTAGACTCTGCAAAGCCACCACTGTGAGAAGGACTTCTAAGACTCTGGACACCTCTGCCCCTGATCTAATTAAACAAAGAATCAGATGGTCATTTATGACTCAGAAGAGTGAACTGTTGGGTTCTTAGACGAACCTAGGCTTCCTCTCTCTGGACTGACGTTTGCTTTTATTTATGTACAGCAATCAATGTGTTTCCTCCAAACAGATCCACCCTACAAAGCAATAATGGAAGAACTGTCTGGAATTTTAGAAGTCTGATCATTTGAAAGTGATATGTGACTTAGCTACATAGTAGCTTATTTTCACTATAAGAATCAAAATGTGGTTTTAAAACAAAAATAGAGAGGGGCTGGAGAGATGGCTCAGATTGAGAGCACTGATTACTCTTGCAGAGGACCTGGATTCTATTCCCAGCACCCACACTATCCGTAACTCCAGTTCCAGGGGTACACTCACATGCAGGCAGTACACTCCTACATATAAAATAAAAATAGTAATTTAAAAAGTAGATTATCTTTAGTCCTCTCTACATATAGTCCTTGACAAAATACAAGCTCCCTCTTGAAATGTTCTTCTCATCTACAAAGTAAATAGGAAAACACAGGATTGGTGTGAAGAGGCTCTTCTAACAAAGCAGGCAGAAATGAGGAGATGATAAACAAATGGAAAGCAGTCAGAGAGCATAGGATAGATTCTGGGCCAGCAAAACCAGATGGACCTCATCTGCAGCAAGAATTAAAAATTAGAAAACCTTTGATAGGAGGTTCAGACACAAGTAGAAGCAAAGAAAAAAACACTGTGGAACAGAGGAACCACAGAGCCCTGAAATTCTTTGATTCCCAAAAACTAGAACGCAGCACAGGTATTCCACATTCACCAGAGAAGAAAGAATTTAGAAGACCTGGAAAAGACCTTGAATTCATTATTCACCTTGCATTAGAGAGTGCAGCCCAGCCTTTTGCATTATAGAAATGGCTTTGATGCACTCGCGAGTGTGCTCTCTCTTATTACAGTTCAGCGTGAGCTCAGATCCAAACTGCTGTTACTAGGTAACCACTGCACATCTGTGTTCACAAGAAGAGCTAGGTTTTTTTAAAGCAATTTGACAGAAATCAAGGGAAATGAAAAATTTTGAAAAATATCAAATAGAAAAATGCGTCAAATAAAGTGCATATGAAGAACAGTAATTGATTTCAAAGAGAGAGGTCATATATTTTATGGGATGACTTAAATCCAAAAAAAGTGATGGTCTGGGTGTCAGTCGTATAGAAATAAATGGGCTTTATGACTTAATAGCAAAGATATACATACAGAATGTTACTTAAAGTAACATGGCTGTAGAAATACACAGGACTCTAATGTATTTAAAATATAGTGTCTTTAAAAAAAAAAAAAGGAAAATATTTTAGAGGAGATGGAAAAAGAAAGCAGCCAGAAAAAAAAAATACCCAGAAGAGATAAAGCAAAAAAAAAAAAACCTTGAAATTGAAAGAAAACACGGTTGACAAGCCAGACCCTCAATTCACAGAATGTACATCTCCTAACTGAATGTAGTGAGCATCAGCAGTGAAATTTGCTGCTGTGCAGAACTCATACAAATGAGCTTCAGTGTCTCTGAGGACTGTGAGGCCAGGCTCCAAAGCAGAGTGACCAAAGACTTTTTTTTTTAATATCCTACAGTCTACAAACTATAGATTTCCAAATATACTTTCTAAGAAGCAGTAACAGTTTTCTGATGGAGAAATTTAACAAACCCTATAGATACATATCCCAAGAAAAAATATTCTTAAGAATACTGTGAACAGCTTCCAGGGGTTTTCCTTAGGATAGTTACTCCACCAAGCATCACCTCCCTCCATTCTTCATCACCATCATTCTAAGCCCCACAACTTTCTTATGTCATCTTCTTGAGCTTCCCAGATCTCATATCAAGATTAAGCCATTGCTTTGTCTGAAAATTCCTCATAACACCTGCCTTAGAATTTATGTCTTCCTTGCTTGCATTATCTACTTATTTGTCTCTCTAATTAACAAATTTAGTGCAGGCTTACTCTTCTCCAAACCATCTTAGTAGCTTACAGATACCTTGCGATGGAAAAGCTGTCCTTGCCTAAGGACAGGAGGGTGTACTGTGGTCACAACTGTATGACCCCTATTTAGGGAAAGGCTAAATTTCCAGGGTACCCAACATAGCCTTAAGACCTTAAAAGGTATTATTCTTTCCCTTATAACTCTTTCCATCTTCCCCTGTCTTTGCCTTGCTACATCAGAAGCACTACCAGCATGTATCAATGTAAGTAGTGCAAAGTACTAGCACTAATGAAGAGATAAACTATTACATCCCCACTTACTCTGATTTACTCAAGACAAATGCAGTGCTCTTCCATATCTATGTGTTCTTTATCCATGGAGTCCACCAAAAATATTTGGAAGAAAATGCTTCTGTACTAAATATTACACACATTTTTCTTTATGCACTATTTACCTAACTTACATTATATTAGATATTAAAAGTAACCTACAGACGGTTTAAAGGATTAGGAGGATGCTCCAAGGTTATACACAAATAGCACTCCATTTTATAGAAAAGACTTGAACATCAGGTTTGTGTATCCTAGGTAAGGATAAGGGTTCTGAAACAACAAAATGTCCATGGATACCAAGCAACTACATTATGACAAGCATCATACAAATTGCTCATTTCTGCCACCTGTACCATTATCTGTACTTACAACAAAATGTGAGGACCTAATCCATAAAACATAATGAAAAAGACGTTACCAAAGATAAAATGCTGTTTTAAAATGGCCAAAGTTGTAAATATGTAACTGGTTTCTATATAACATTATCATTGCCATCTCACCTTTTCTCCTTTGTCTCCAACAATGCCAGTGATGCCTCTCAGACCCTGAGCTCCCTAGAAAAGAAAAACCGACAGTGAATCATTTCAGTTCAAGTGCACATTTACTAAAGATCCTGTCTCAGAAACTGATTCAAAAGGAGTTTACTATTATAATGAAAGGCAAGACTAAGAAGCAGTGACATAACATAGACATGTTTCTAGTTGAGAAAGAAAAGTACGAGAAGAATCTTGATGGTCAAACCCTTTTGTAAAATTCAAAAGACTTAACCCTATGCAAACTTGAACTTGACACAGTTATTGATGTCAGAAAATGTAAATATCATAAGAGAGATTGTGATAACGTACTTGATATATTTAACTCACAAGCAGAATTCACACTGCCACTTCTACCCCCTTCGTGGTCTGTTAAGAGTAACATTATTTTAATCCCAGAAGTAATATTTACCTACCAACCCATGCCATCGAAGGAAGTGGATTCTGGTTTAACCAATTTTATGCCTCAGAAATGGAGCTGGGCTGTTCGTCAATCACTTGTCTCCAAAGCTTTCTGAATTCCAACATGGACCAGTAAAACTCATCACAAGCATAGGCATGACTAAGCTTAGAAATGAGGGATTGGGTATGCTGTACAGGACCCCTTTCAATAAAAGTCTTCCTGTTTGGGATTCTCTGGTCCAAAAGCAGGAGGGTTCTTCTAGAAACAACCTGGTAAAGGGTGAGTTTGGATGCTCCCTAGGGTATATCTGTGAGTGGGCTCTCCAATAGAAAAGTAGCTACTTTTAGACATCCGCCAACTCTTGACATTGGCTTAAGATAAAGAGGTTCTAGGCTACTGTCTTCAACTTCGGACTTGGAAGAGATGACCAAGTTCATGACCAGTCTTCATCTAGGTTAGTTACAAATTCTCTGTATCAGGAAGGGTCTGAAATTCCAAGTAAAACATGAACCAGTAAGGGATACCAACTTAGGCTTTCAAGTGAAATATGGCCAAACCAGATTAAACTGCTCTTTCTTGTGTAGCTTATTTACTAACTCTGAAGGCAACACTTCTACACAAAGAATTTAAACTATTTAGATCAAGAGTAGTGATGTGGAAACCCCATGTATAAGCTCTTCAGGTGACTTACTTCAAGGGAAGAGTTTACATAAATATACCAAGAAATTTCTTTTTATAAATCTGTGCTTACTTTGTAAGTGTGCACGTATATTTAAGAACTAAAAATCTGTGAATTCTACAGAAACATTTTGACATACCCTCTCCCAGACACCAAGAGGTCAGCAAACAGTAACAATATTTTCCAGTGGACCATTTAGCTGCACAACACAAATCAATAATCTACAAAAATTCTTTTTAGAATGTTTACAAAATCTTGTTCAGTGGGTCTTTAAGAATGACATTTTGGGGGTTGGAGAGATGGTTCAGTGGTTAAGAGCACTGTCTACTCTTGCAGAAGACCCAAATTCAATTCACAACACCCATATGGTGGCTAATAACTATCCGTAACTCCAGTTCCAGGGGATCTGATGCTCTCTTCTGACCTCCAGGAGCATTGTACAAATGTGGTGTACTTACATGCATGCAGGCAATACACTCAGACACATTTTTAAAAAATAAAAATATTAAATAAGATATATATATATA